ATAGATCCGTACATCTGGGCCCAAGGTTCTCCTCCATGCAAGCACGGATTCGAACCGGCGACCTCGGCCTCAAGAGCCAAGTCTCTTAACCACTACAGCCAGGACATGGTGTTCAAAAGTGGAACCATACCGCCGTGATATCCACCTGCAAGGACACTCTAAGTGGAACCATACCGCCGTGATATCCACCTGCAAGGCTAGAGTGTCCAACTAGATGCACGCCACACACAACACCACACGGACGCCCCACACAGATGCGACAATTCTCACACACTTCACTCCAATCAGCACGTGACCGCCACTGGTACCTAGCCAGCTTACACACACGTGTCTTAGCTTGCCCGTGGGTTCACGGGAGCCTCCACAGTAGTTATAGATCCGTACATCTAGGCCCAAGGCCCTCCTCCGTGCAAGCACGGACTCGAACCGGCAACCGGCCAGCCGCATAATGGTTGGCTGTCGGTGCCTGCAGTGGCCATGCAACGCTGGTAATAAGAATGTAACAAAGCCTCGAAGGATGGGGGGGGAAGATTGAAAAGAGTCGGAAAGAAAAAAATGAAGGCACCTGTTGACTGATTAATGACTCCGAGAGGGACGGGACAATATTTCTGCTCAAGTTATGGATTTGTGAGTTCGCAGGTCGAAAACCCACTTTATTCGTTCCCCCTTTGCTGCTTGGTTTTCACTCCCTAAATGAAGAAGAAAGACAAAGGCAAACAGCGTCGTGTGGTTTGGACGGTTCTTGTCATTTAAGGGCCTCCTGCCTATCCCCACTTCTCTGCTACTTCAGGTGCTCCTTTCGACTAGCTGTGTAGGGGAGAGAAAGGGGAAACAAAATGAAGGATGGGTGGATTGCAGATGAGGAGTAGGAAGGAAGTGAAGGATGAATTCAGAAGAGAAACGAGGAGAGAAGTGGAAGTAGACGAGGGCAAAGGTATAGAAAGGGAAGAGCGATCAAGAAAGAAAGAAGAAAGAAGAAAGAAGATAAAGCCACCAGTTTTTCGAGCCTCTTTTTTCTGATGCAGGTTTCTGCCATGTGCCCCCCCCCAAAAAAAGAGCTGACATGGGCATGAAAATGCCAGGCACCTCCATCCTTCTCATGACGCATCCCAGCCTCCCGCAGTGGGCGATGTGATGAGGCGTTTACCTGGTGGAGAAGGAGCGGGCTGTTAGCTCGGAGTCTTCATTTGTCATCGGACTGATGTTCTTCACTGAAGACCTGTTGTAGCTAGGAGTCTAGGTCGATAGGAGCTGGCTGCTGGTAGTCTGGGTGCCGAGCGCCAATGCAGGAGAACCACATTGTTGACATTGGTAATTGGTGACGAGAAGAGGGCTTTCATTATCATGTGACTTCAATGCTTTGCTCATTCGGTGCTATCTCGGTTTGCAATCTGCTTTCAGTTCGGTCTCAGAGTTGTCTGGAGTTTCTGTGGAATGGTGCAATCTGGTTTATTCAACTTGATTGTCATTTGCATTGCTCATTTCCTTTCAGCACGTCTGGTCGGACATGTTTGGTCCAGGTGTCCACCGGATGTCCGCGGATTGCGCAGACAGTACGCATCATTGCTATGCTCTGAATGCGAGACGTATCTGGGCCCTCCTCACCCAGCCAGACCAGTTTGGCCAGGCTGGTCCTCCCAGATATCTGTGGCCTGGGATAATTCTGTTCTGGTCTTTCCTGTGGGATTTGATGTCTAAATCCCTTGATCCACAAACACTGCTGGGGGTGTGTGGAACATGGAACCAACAGGCGGCCTGTCCATGCAATAGCGTTGGCAAGATTTCGCTTATCGATTTGTCAATAGCTATCCACCGAAAACCAAGCTACATGCACAAACCTTCTTTTTTGTTTTTGGGCTTTCTTTGTGTGTGTTGTGTGTGTGTGTGTGTGTGTGTGTGTGTGTGTGTGTGTGTGTGTGTGTGTGATGGGAATGATGGTGGTTGCCCAATTCGCACAAGAATGAAAGTTTCAAAGTCTCAGACAGTGAATGAATTAATTTTGAGTATGCTAGTATGCTACTGCTGGTTGGTAAACCAAATCAGGAACAGCTGGTCCCTTGACGGATTGCTCCCCACCCCCATGTTGTCCCGGGCTGTGAATGCCACTCACACATGATAAAGTTGCAGACTCTCTTGAGTCCTGCTAATCAAGCAAACAATAGCATTGAAATGCCTCAGGAAGTGTGATTGGTTCCTAAAGCAAACTAGTGGCTTTGGGTAGGGAAGCAGACTATGGCCAGCTACTGTTGCACTATGGGAACCAAGCTGTAGTCATTTTGCTCTGCTGATAGCCTCATTCACATTTGGGTTGCTGGTAAATCGGGTTGCAAATGTTCTCACCCATTGCCTGCTATCATACTGGACTTCATGCTCCTCACTGGTCTTCATCTATGCCTTTTCAGCAGGCTGAT